TTTTTTTTTGCGGGGGGGTCTGGAGCCGGGGTTGGGGGTGCCCACCCCCGGAACCCCGGAACCCCGCCGGGGCCCCGGGGCCGGGGCTCGACAACCCTGGCTGTACCGTTGAGTTTTTCTCCTTTTTTTTTTCCCTTTTTTTATTTATTATTATTAATTTTACTGCAATCTTTACTGTTGACTTATCAACTTTCAGACCCGGCTCTCCTTCTAGGTTCTGTCACTTCGTAGGGGAGGCCGTCGATTCAGGTTTTGGACTGCGACTGCGGTCTCCTGGTCTAGGCCTCACCGACCCCTTGCATATCACCTGTACTGGACCTGCTCGTTTGAACTGTGTGGTGGAACCCCAGTACCCATGTTAAGGGATAGATACAGCGAGACCTGGAAAAAGGGGAAAAGGGTCGAAAAGTTGGGATTTAGATTTGTGCGTGGACTCGCACCACTATTCAGGCGGGACTACTTCGCGGAGGAAATTCGAATTGCCATCTTTCCTTTTCCTGCGATTATTATTATTATTATTATTATTATTATTGTTATTATTACCTTACCGGTTTTCAGGCGGCTTTCCTTTATCTTTTCTGTCACATCGCGGGAAGGCCAACGGTTCGAATTTGGAGTTGTGGCCCGAATTGGTCGGCCTCACTTACTCCGTCTGAGAGCGCTGACTGAGTACTGCGCGGTTAGGCCACAAAAGAGGGGCGACCCATGGCCGCATCGGTAGGAGGTTCATCACCCCCTATAGGAGGTCATGAACCCCCTCCTTGCCATCGGATGCGGGTACCCATCAAGAAAATAGGCAGTAACTAGTTTTGAAGAAAAGAGAGCGCAGGTCGGTATCACGTTATGGGACCACTGCCTGGAGGTCGCAATTATTATCACGGCAGGACTAAACGACAAGGGCAAAATGTGAAAGGTCTGAGTGTGTAGTGACTAACGATGTTTAGTTTATCGCTCCATTCTTTTCTTTTCTTTTTACTTTAATCTAATTTATGTTATTTATTATTTCCAAGATTCACGGGATGCTGATAAGCCAAAACTAAGGCTATCTTGAACTCTTCACTCAGAGCATGGGGATCGCAGTGTAGTAGGAGCCTATAAAAGAGGGGAAAACTAGGCTATTGGGCGGCCCTTAGTTTGAGGGTGCTTGCGAACTATCTCGCTGCATCGGTGCCGCTAGTCTGGGGCCAAAGGCTGGACTAGTGAAGACAGGCGTTAAGTCATCCGAAGTGCGTACTCCTGGGGTCGGGACTCTGGCTATTCAAGACGCGGCTATGGCTTTGCATGGGTAAAGACCCTGCTACTGGTACCACCAGATTCGGTGGAAACCCATGTTCGAGGAGGGGCCTTGGATCACGGCCATACTTAAATACGACGGGGGAGACGAGATGAGACTGAGGATCAACGTGGAAGGAGGAAAAGAGGTGGAGATGCGGACTGATGGGAAGCCTCAGGACGCTATGACGGAGATGAAAGACCGTGTGGAGAGGCGTTGCCGGAGGGACGACGTGACGGCAAAAATGCAGGTAACGGTCTCGTATCATGAGACCGAGACCTCCATGGATACAGCGGACCTGGAACAAGCCCATGTGGACAGGGACTCAGGTGGGGGGAGCGAAATGAGTGAGACAGGGGATCGGGAAATGAACCTCAGATCCTGGAATAGACCAGGCGAGATCCAGAGGCACCACCGGGCTGTGAAGCCGGTGGAAGAGGGACCCGAGGCCAGCTCTCGACAGCTGACAGCCAGAGGCCGCAGGATGGGTGAGAAGCAGAGCAGAGGGAAAAGGCATGTGTGAGAGGGCACGCAATAGGTCAACGAGAGGAAAAGCAGTGCGGGTGACCAGCGCACGATTTTTGGGTAGCTATGGCTGACGTCAACCACGGTCTCCTTTGGCTCAAGGCATCTGGTGTTTCTTGAGCTGCGGCGATCAATCAGTCACCATATCACCTTCTTGTGCTTTTGGCCAGAGTGACCTGTTTAGGAGCACTCCTCTCTCGTTCGGTGCAAGTGCACGAGGTAAGTGAGTGGTCGGGACGCGCACGGTGCACAGGCTATACGTGGTAACCCGGGGAGGCGAGAAAGGGGCCAGCGCGCGTGAGAGATAGCGTGGTGGTTGACGTCAAACGGGGAGCAATGGCACGAGTGCCACGCGAGCCTATGGCATGTGGCAGGAGTGCGGAAATAAAGGGGCTCGTGGAGAGCGGGATCGAGCATGAAGTTGTGATCCGTACCCCCAGCCTGCATGCGGCACGATCATGAAAAGACAACAGCATCGACGTGGCACGCACACGAGTGATGAGACGGACATTGCCAAGTTCATGAATGCGAGAGAGGACGAGATGGAATGTGTTTGAAAAGCAGAACGAGAAAGAGAGAGGGAAGGTCAACACATGTCGGTGCATTGTGGAGAAACGGATAAGTGCGAGGTGGTTATGATCAGGCACGGTCTACACATGAAATCCACAAGAAGAGAGAGATCATGTGCATCAAAGTAGTCTGGCTGACGACAGCGGTGGGCTTCTTGCCTTCGCTCAAGCAGAGGATGTTTAGACGTCTGCACTGATTTGAGAAACGTAACATGGACCATTCATGCCTCTCCATAGTGGCGGTTTGCGTGACCCAAGTGGACGTTCTTACGCCTCTTCAAGCTTATCAAGAAGTTCTGGTCGCATTTAATGACTGATGGTCGTTATTCGGTTGCCGTGAACGGCTCCTCGTTTTTGGCCGAACACAGTTTATCCCGAGCCCTCTCTCGACACGCTTTGTAGGTCAGTGCAAACTAAAATATTCAGAACAGAACATCAGAGAATTTTCAATATGGGTTATGTGCTTATGTAGTTGGGTTCTTGCTGTGACATCTGATAAAAAGTTAGTGAAGTAGCGAGGTGATGGCTGTCCAGTAGAGTGCTTCGCGAAGAGTCGAATGTGTTGACGTCAGCCTCTCTAGGCGTGCATAGTTAAGATCATCCGGAATGAATCACTTGTAACAGAGGTGAAGTTGATTGGGTTTTCTTCTAATGGGCGTTTAGAGACATTGAATATCCACTATGCATACATATAAATATATATATATATACATATTATGTTTGAGGGGTGAGTAAGACAAGTATTCTATTTGACGATATATATATATATATATATTTCCTTTTTTTTTATTATTTGTGCTGCTTCGCTGTGCATAATGAGTGAGTGAGTCTCACATTGCAACTCAGTGGATCGTTTTTGCTTGTCTCACTCGATTGATAGACAACTGAGTACAAATTTTATTCAGATGAGTGAGTTGCAGATCCAGTGAATAGTGAACCCAGAGAATAGCAGATCAGATTTTTGTAGAATGAGCTTCTTGGATTAGGCCTGGCGGATCAAAGCCTTGTTTTGTGAGTTCAATTTAGGTGATTGAGGTCTGAACGATGACTAGCCAATCCGGGTGAACTCAGACGGTCTTCGGACTTAGGGAACCTGACGGACTTGGAAAGTTTAACAGACAATATTTTGGATGATTCGTCACCTTTGGCTGAGTTCATTCTGATAAAAAAAAACTGGATAACTCGAGCCAGGCTCAGACGGACCCCATGACAGACCCAAGGCAGTCTAACGTAGACTCAAACAACTTTAACTCGACTCGGACAATTTTTATTTGACTCAGATAACTTTTACCCGACCCAAACTAGACTCTGACAACCTGAACCAGACACGAACAACTCGAACCAGATTCAGGTTACACAAACCTGAGTTGGGCAAGCCTCAAAACAGACTTAAGCCGTTCAATGCAGGTTCAGGTAATTCAGTGCAGGACCGGACAATCCAATGTAGAATCAAAGAGTTCGGCACGGACTTAACTCATTTATGCATGGATTCGACGAACACAGGCGTTAACCAGCAGATAAGCCCAGACTCGACTAACTTAGTGCGGACTCAGTAGACTGGGCATAGACCCTACAAGACGAACACAAAACCCACGTACAGTTAACCGTCCAATCTGTGTCTAGTTACCCGGATTCCGCAAACAGCTTCTGGCAGACATCAGGGTTTCTACTCAAAGGGGTGAAAGGAGAGGCGTTCTGCAGAGAGATGGTGGGTGAGAAAAGACTGAGGGTGACCTGTACTCTGCATCAAGACAAAAGTGAGGGTTGGGAGAAAAGAGTTATACATGACCTTTGTTATCAGAAAAGACTCATGATGGAACAGGCTTTAGAGCGAGTGAAGAACCAGACGCTTATTGAATATACTTTCTACATTCATGGGTCATACGGGAGATTACACAGTATCCTCTCGTCGGTAGGATCCGTTGAGGAGGCAAGGAGAAAGCTTACTGAAAATCAGTAAAAGAGCTTAGCCATCAACACCGCGAGGCAAATTCACCTCAGGCAGATTCAGACTAGAGAAAACAGGCAGGTTTCTGAAAACAAATCACAACGGAGCACCTAGTATGTCGACGGAACACGAATAACAATTGTATTAATTGGCATTTGAGCAGCAGTCAATCTGTTTTCTATTCAGTTGTCAGTTAGTTTATCTAATCAGCAACCAATCCCTTTTCTCTAAGTAGCAGCTACGGCTCTCTAAACAGCAATCAGTTATCAACAATAAGTTATCAGCAATCAGTTATCAACCATTAGTTCTCTTGGATCAGTTCCCAGTGATCATCTAGTCAATCTGCACCGGCTAATTTACCCATGAGTATAGTCGAATCCTTTCGAGTCATCAAGTCAGTGCTGGTCAATCTCAATCAGATTTCATGTAAGGAGGCATTCCGCTATCAGTATGCCAGTGCCATTGGTTTCAGACGAGGAGATCTGTCAATCTTCGTTGTCCAGACCAATTTTGTTGATGACACTATCCACGATCTGAGGCCCTATCTGAAGAAGGGTAAAGAGGCTCATGAGTATTTTGACGTTGTGTGAATCTCCGCCACGAGGTACCTCGAGCAGAGGGAGACAGAAATCGATGAGAGTGACACAAAACTGATTCGCAGTTTTGGGCCCGAGCTTTATACGGACTATCCTAAGCCCCCCATTCCTGTCCTTCTCACAGATGGCACAAGTTGGCTTGATATGATGAGCTTGGCAAAAAGGTATATCTCTCCAGCAGTGATCGACATTGAGGTACTGACTAAGCCTACTGAGTATCCCTACCTCAGACGGGGAGTCTTTTCAATGGATGGACTGCCTACATTGTGGGAGGAGTTTTGCTCCATGGTTAACTACCGTGTCATGCATCTCAGATAGTCATGTTTAGAGTTTGCTGGCTTCAGGTGACTCTTTGTCACGAGGCCTCGATCTCAGACTGTACGAGGGCGTGGGTCACGACACCAGAGATGAACAGCAGGATGAGAGATTGAAAGAGACTGCCTAGAGGGAAGAGTGAGAACTCTTGAGAGGTGCTGACCACGCTTGCTTATGTGTAGTTTTTGAGATTATTATGAGTTATCATCCTTCCCTCACTCATTTGACCTGGTCATTGTCCAAGTCAGTCAGTCGGTCTTACTTCTTGCATTGTTCTTGCTTGATGATCGATTTCTAGGATGACTCTGTCACAATTCTCAAAATCAGATTGACGTAATTGATGCATGTTGAGCACTCCATAATGATTATTATTTGCATGATTCTCTGTTGTTCCGAATCAAAATAAAAGATTCCTAAGATCGGGGACCGGCGAAGACTGTAATTGAAGGATCTCGCTTGAAGCCGGACGCACACAACAGGAAGGGATTTGCATTAATTAATTTATTTTATTTATTGCAATCACATACAAAATCCTGCGTCACAGCCTGTCGGTTTTCCGGTCGTCCTAAGTGGTTCGACTGGAAAAAGTGCGACAACGTGCTAGAAGACATCGTGAGCGAGCGCGACACTCGCTTCATGTCGGCATTTTGGACTTCTCTCATGCAGGAATCCGACACCCAAGTTCGGCTCGACATCCAGAAACGGACGGGCAAATGGAGCGAGCACATCAAACCGCTGAAATGATGCTTCATGCGCTCATTCGTCAGGATGAGAAGGATTGGCTTGACCGCGTTCCCGACATCGAGTTCGCCTACAACACTTCGTTGCATCCGCCGATCGGCGTAACTCTATTCGAGCTGCACCACGGTGGCCGGAAAGGCCGTATCTTCCCTGATCTTCTCCTCCCACGAACAGTCGACATAGACGATGCTTGCTCCCCCGCTTCCGTTGGGAAATACAGGGAATTGCTGGCTCAAGCCCGCGCGAACATGCAAAAGGTTCAAGTTCGCATGCAGCAGCAAGCCAACAGGCATCGCGTGCCAGTCTCATCTGCGCTGGTGATCTGGTGTGGGTCTCCGCGGAAGAGTTTACACTCGAACAGGATGTTTCACGCAAAATACTTCCCAAGTGGTTTGGACCACGGCCCGTAACATCAGCCGCGGGCGATGAGCCCAATGGCCCCTCATTTATGATCAACATTCCCCGCATATGACGGTCCATCCAGTCTTTCACCCCTCGAAGCTGGCAACATATACATTAGCCAAGAGCGACGACTTCCCGGGACGAAGATCGCAAGATCCTCCATCTATGGATAGTCATCAGGAGGTTGACCGCGTCATCACGGATCGCAAGTACGGCAACAAGCCTCAACAGTACAAAGTTACATTCAAAGCATGCGATCCCGACGACACTCGGTGGATTTCAGGAACAGATTTGAAAGCATCCGCACCGCTGATCTACGCTCACTACGTGTGACAAAGGTTAGCTCAGGGACCTTCACGACCTGCCCCTCCCACCCGAACTGTGGTCCCTCCCTCAGACAGACAGCTTCGCCCTAGCAGGTAAGTTCGGTCTTTCAAGCAGGCGGGGGTGTGGCATACTGTGCAGCCACACGGGCCTGCAGGGCCTGTCCCGCAGTCTCAGCCTAAAGACCTAGAAACAAGAGATTACAAGCCCCGTGTCGTTTCAGCCTGAAAGACTAAAGAACGAGGGTCTGCCGGCCCTATGTCGTTTCAGCCTAAAACAGGTCCTTTCAGGCCCGCAGCCTTTTCAGCCTGAAACAGAGGGCCACTTTCGGGCCCTCATAAGATCGACCTGCCCTAACACTCAGGCACCAAACCAGGGTTTCGGAACAGGCTATTTTTGGCCTGATCCCCACGCCAGCCTCAGCAGGAGCTGCAGCGGCAGGCCCTGACTCACTTCAGCATTGGTAAGAGCAGCCTCCTGGACTGCCCTGCCCTGCAGCTGCAGATAG